GACATAGCACGAGTGGTGGAGGGCAGAGAGAGAGGGAGACACAGAATCCGAAGCAGGCTCCAGGCTCTGAGTGGTCAGCACAGAGCCTGATGCGGGACTCGAACCCACGAATTGTGAGATCATGACCTAAGCTGAAGTCAGACCGACTCAACCGACTGAGTCACCCAGCCGCACCAGATTTTATCACTTCTTAAAGGGATATGACAAAGCTCTTTAAATATTTCCAGAGGACATGGAGTATTTCCAAGAGTGAAGTAAAGAATCATGTATCATGTAAGCATTACTTATTTAGCTCTTAGAAATTAAGATGATCAGATACCTCTATAAAATAAGAATTATGAGTTAAAGATCATGCCTATACATTTCCTCCCTTCTTCCCTTGTCTCCCTTCCCTCCTTCTATCCTCCCACCTCCCTCCCTCCCTCCCTCTCTTTCTGTCTGTCTGTCTCTGTCTCTCCCCCTCTCTCTCTCAAATTTGGGCAACAAAGGATTTTTATCTTCCTTTGAATTCTGGTGCCCAAGTAAGCTGAAGAACTAACATGAGGCAAGACTAACTGGATGTGTGGAGACCCTCTCCACAATTCTATTCACCACATTTCCACAGGGAGGGGCCTGGAAGAAATGAAGAATGCACAGTGGGAGGGGTGCCTGGCTGGCTGTCGTAGAGCACGCAACCCAGTTTGGGGATGTAAATTCAAGCCTCATGTTGGGTGGAGAGATTACTTAAAAATAATATCTTAAAAAAAATGCATAGTGAGATCTCAAGGCAGATTTACTTAAACAGCCAAATAATGAAAACAATTATTCATCGCTGGGGAAGAATAAATTGTGTTATAGTCACACAATAGAATACTACACAACAAAACCACTAACAACAGGGATGCCTGGCTGGCTCAGTTGGGGGAACATATGGCACTTGATCTTAGGGTCGTGAGTTCAAGCCCCAAGTTGGGTGTAGAAATTACTTAAATAAATAAACTAAAAAAAAAAAAAATGAGACAGTATGAAAATTAAGATGGAAAAATGAGCAAACTGCTTTTCTTCTTTTTAAGTTTATTTGTTTTGAGAGAGAGAGAGGGAGAGCACATGCACGAGTCAGGGAGGGGCAGAGAGAGAGGGAGAGAAAGTGAGAATCCCAAGCAGGCTGCTCACTACCAGTGCAGAGCCCGATGCGGGGCTTGAACTCACCTACTGTGAGATCACGACCTGAGCTGAAGTTGGGCACTTAACTGACTGAGCCACCCAAGTGCTCCAAACTGCTTTTCTTTCAACCTTCCCTCTCTCATTAGGCGTGGAATGTGGAGACAGCAGGGGAATTAAAGAATGAGGAAGACTCTCCAAATAACTTGTAGGGTTTGGGGACTTCAGTTAAGTTTTAGAGTTTCTCGATTAGGGAGACCCTTCCGTTTTCCCCTTCTTTGTAGGATGTGCCCTGATTAGTTTTGAGGGACACGGTTGCAAGGAGTGATCAGGTGAGCAGAGTTGACTGTCTGGCTTTCAGGTAGAGAATTAAAGTTGGGTCTCAAGTTTACTTTATCGCTTGTTCCACATGGTTCGTTCAACAGCATGGGGAAGGAGGGAGGGCTGAGGCATAAGTGCTGTCCAGGGATGGAAGGTGTGCTGGTGAGAGGACGTGCCTTTTGTTCTCTCTGCGGAAAACCACAAAAAGGATTCCAAAGATTGGGAGCAGAGGGCTGAGATATACCAATATTTATTTCTAGTCACAGTCTCTTGGTGTAATTTATGTGCTCTTCTTTTTTTATAGAATCCTGGCAAAACAAATCCCTATCTCCTTAGCTGTTTTTCTTTTCTCCGGGCCTTTTAGAAACACCGTGAATCCATTTTTCCTGTTCTCCTTCCCCTGGACACCTCTCAGCCCTGGCAGATCATTTCTAACGGCAGAGGCTGTGACGGGTAATGAATGTGTGGAAGGATTGGGGCCTGGCTCTTGACCTTCATGTTCCGGCATTCCTATATTGTCTCTTGAATTTTTAACAGCTCAATTGCTGCCTCATTCGCCACCCAAAGTACTGCCAATTAGAATCTGGCTGCATTTATGAAATTATTTTAAATTTAAATTATTTAATTATTTTAAAATAACACTAGATAAAAATTAATGGAGACAATTATAGAAATGCTGAAGCTGAACTCTTCATTTAAATAATATATGTGGGGTGGGGGGAGGCTACTAAAAATTTAGGGCTAATCTCTGTGATGGGCATTTTATTTATTTATTTATTTCTTCCCATCCCCCCATCCACCTCCTCTGATAGGCGCTTTATATGCATTATGATGTTTACCCCATGAAACCTCTGTAAGCTTGTAAGCTAAAAATTAGTATTCCTGTTTTAAAAGTGAATTCTCGGGGCCCCTGAGTGGCTCAGTCGGCTAAGTATCCAACTTGGGCTCAGGTCATGATCTTGCAGTTTGTGGGTTTGAGCCCCGCATCGGGATTCCCTCTCCCTCCCTCTCTCTTTGCCCCTCTCTGTTCATGCCTTCTCTTTCTCTCTCTCTCTCTCAAAATAAATAAATAAACTTAAAAAAAAAAGTAAACTCTCAGACTTAAAGGATCAGAAAGAAATACTAAGTGTGCCGGGGTAAAAGCCCAGGTCCATCTAACTCCAAAGTCGTTTTATCTCACCACTGCTTAGGCAAGGTGCTTACTCAACATATGCAGAGCTTAAATATTCTTTCATCTTATGAAAAAAACAGATTTGGTAAATTAAATCTGCTAAAATAGACAGTAATCTCCTTGAGGGCAAAGGCTGGTTACTTATCTTTTTGTGTGGCTTAGAACGGTACCTCAATGTGTTAGGTGCATACTTCCAAATAGGTGCACAGGAGAAAAAAATTTTTTTTCTTAAAACAATTACATATCCACTACATACTTTTTCAAAGCATGTGTAAGTATCTACATTACATTAATAGATTCACATACCTGCAGAAAAAATCAAATTTACTCATCTAAATAAAATGTGAGGTCAATGAAAAGGATAGTTTAAATGCCAAATATAACATAACCAAACAAGTTAAAAACGTGGGTACTGGGGTCCCTGGGTGGCTCAGTTGGTTGAGCATCTATCTGTCCCTCGATTTCAGCTCAGGTCATGATCTCGTGGTTCGTGACTGTGAGCCTCGTATGGGGCTCTGTTCTAAGAGCACAGAGCCTACTTGGGATTCTCTCTCCCTCTCTCTCTGCCCCTCCCTGCTTGTGCTATCTTTCTCAAAAATAAATAAATAAACATTAAAAAAAAACCAAACTTGGGTACTGAACTACATTTCCAGATTTTTTTTTTAGTATTTATTGATTTTGAAAGAGAGTTAGAGAGCAAGCATGGGAGAGGCAGAGGGAGGAGGAGAGAGAGAATCCCAAGCAGGCTCTGTGCTATCAGCGCAGAGCCCAACATGGTGCTCAATCCCACAAACCCGTGAGATCATGGCCTGAGCCAAAACCCGAGAGTCAGATGCTTAACCTACGGAGCCACCCAGGTGCCCCACATTTACAGATCTTTTAAGCTCTAAAGGCACACTGGCTAATATTTCTGTTATTCCAGGATTAGCAAGCAAGTATAAAGCCTTTCACAGTATAACTGACCCTAAACGTGGAATCACTGAAAGGAAAGAACATACAACTACAAGCTCTCCCCCTAATACAAGATGGAACCTACTGGAGCAGACTGAAACCCAGCTGTTAATAGAATTACACTCCCATGATCAGTTCTTTATACCAAAGCATCCGAAAGCTGACTGAATACTTTTTCTTTACAGGACTTCTCTCCCTCCATTTCATTTTAGTTTCTCTATGTGGAAAGAAAGCACACAGCCAAGACTTTTAATTCTCAATTCCTTATTTTTTCCTGAAATGGTAGCCTGAAATTAGTGTATTGCCTTTTAAATTAAGTCATAATTTGTTTCTGAAAGAACTGTACCATATCTTTGGTGTGCTGTGTTACTTTTTACGAGTAACTAAGTTTGCCGAATGTTTAAAGTCTTGTTTTGTTTTTTCTTTCATAGAATAAAAGGACTTCTTTCAATATGGAGGCTTACTTGGCTTCCAGGTAGAGTTACTCAGGTTTTCCAAGTTTGTGGCTGTTGTGTTTCTGCTTCAGAATTCTCTAGGATGAGTTTCCCTGTGAGCCTAAACACACCCGTAAGTACTCATTTAGTCTCTACTAACTCTCAACATGTCTGGTTAGGTCCGTTTCTGAGATTATAAGAAAAAAAAAAAAAAACCACAGTTATTTTTTTCTTTCTAGATTTGTCTCCCTTATTTTGTTCGTGTTACTTATTACAGTTAATGGACATTCCTAAAATTTTAATTATATATACCTATGCACTATAAATGTTTTCTTCATTATTCCAAAATGTTTACTGTTTATTTTTGTGGCTCTCCGTATATTTTTGAGAGCCATTGTCTGCCAAAAGGAATGTCCACATTGGCTCATTTTTTTTTTTTTAGCCAAATACCTCTTTTCAATCATTTTGGGTTATTTTTGACAGCAATCTCTAATGCATTCCTGCACAAAATCCCTTGCCCACATTATGTCCTTAAAGTAATGTCTTTGCAAGTAAATCTCCCTCCTATACCTGCTTCTCCATTTTTAATGCTTTCCGTAATGTCAGCATTCTTTTGATTTTAATTCACGTTTTTTATTCCTTTGTATGAATTTATACATTTCTTCCTTTTGACTGGTATCCGTTTTATTCTATTTTAAAGTCTTTAGTTTTTACTTTTAGTCCCCATTAAGTTCCCTGGTGATGTCAATTCATGAATACACCAAAGGTTTATGGCATGGCACACTCCCAGAATGTGAAGCTTCCTGGTTGGGGGGGGGCGGGTGGTGAGGGGAGCATATCTGTCACTCATGTACTGATCCCAGTACTACTGAAGACAGTTACCCAAAAATGAAATATTAAAGTAAATGTCTGTCTAGCCAATAGCATATACTTTGCCAAGTAACTATACCATTTTTTTAAAATGGTAAATAAATGAAACTTACCCTTTAAAGAAGATTTCAGTAGATGATTTGGGATCCTTCCCTCTTTATTTCAGCTCAATCCAATTCAGATAAATTCTAGAAGCCTGTCAGGTCCGTCCAGAGGCTGTGGAGACCACAAATGCAAAAATAAAACAAGTCCCTCCTCCTAAATTTACATTCACTTAGATCAGTTGGAGTGCTAGGGGTTTCAAATCCCAAGCTTTATATAAGGTCTTTCCCTTGATGAGTGTGCAGTAACTGTTTTCCCCAGCCAGTGAGGATCTTAGGTTTCCCCCTTTTAAAGCTTTAGGTTGTACTTCAACTATTCTTTTTATGTTGCATAACCCTCAGGGGTTTATATCCGACTGCCATACTTAATGTATTTTAATTCTGCCTTGTGATGATCTATATATGCTTCCATGAGCTCATCTTTCCCTTAGGACTTGCACAGGTAGCAGAGATTCAACTGGCATTCTTTACTACTCCCTGGCAACTGCAGGTCTGACTTCATGGATACCTTTATTTTTGCTCTTGCCATCCAAAAGTGTCAGAGAGAATGTGATTACTCGATTAAATAAATAAAACAAGGTCTTTTGGACAGATCCTATCATAACACCACGACTGTGGTAAACTGGCAACACACACATCCTGTCTTTTCCCCTTCTAATGTTTTCATTCCCATGAGTTATCCCTTTAAAATCTGGAAAGGTTTGTATTTTTTCACAGCTTACGTTCTGCCTCATCCTAGCAAAGTATATGTCTCTATCTTATTGTCCCTAGATGGAACAATACAGGTTACATTTGAAGAGAAAGAAAAGTATTCGCCCTTCCATTTCTTTCTTCTCTGTGCATGGGAAGGGTGATGAAAGAGAAAGTGGGGGAGAAGTAATGGCCAAACAGAAACCAGCGAGGCTAGATCCAACTGTATGTGTCACCTTCAAGGAGGTCATGGTCTGGAGTGATTTTTTTTTTCTTTTTCTTTTCTTTTTTTTTTTTTTGGAGTAATTCTTTTTTTTTCCTCAATTTTTTAAAATGTTTTATTTATTTTTGAGAGAAAGAGAGACAGAGCACAAGTTGGGGAATGAGAGAGAGAGAGAAAGAGACATAAAATCCGAAGCAGGATCCAAGCTGTCAGCACAGAGCCTGTCGAGGGGCTTGAACACAGGACCCGTAAGATCGTGGCCTGAGCCAAAGTCAAACGCTCAACCGACTTGAGCCACCAAGGGACCCTGGAGTAATTCTTAATTGAAATCATATCATACATCTACGCCTCTCTTATCACCAACTTCTCAAATATTTCCATTCTCCTTCCCCTAGCTGCAAATCTCCTCATTTAATAATTGCCCTACTCTATAATATCACTATTTCTGTATTGTCTCATTTCCCCATTAGGATTCTGCTTCTTTTTGTACTCTCTGCCTATAGCACCTAGACTGGTCCTAGGCTTTGGAAGAATGTTTGCTGGATTGAAATAAATTGCTTGGACTTACTCAGGCTCCCCTTTACTAGCATGTAGTAAAAATTTATCTCAATTGACACCTTTATCTTTACTGCATGCTATTAAGGTACAGTGGTGACCAAAAAAAAAAAAAAAAAAAAAAAAAGAAAGAAAAAAAAACATAAAGAAAAGTAACATGGTGGACTTTTAATTGCAGCATAAAACATTTTAATGCTTTTTTTCTTTCCTGAAAGAGCTCATGATGAACGATTCTTAATGTTTGCTGGTATAAGCCTCAAGATGCAGGCAGAAATGTTTTTGTGATTTTAAGTACTTTCTGCCTAGCATGGATAATAATCAAGGGTAATTAATATATGTTAATATATTTTGTGCGACTTTCACAAGTTCACAAAATAAAATGCGTCTTAAACTTGAGCTTATCTTCGGCCATATCCGTGCCGTGTACGGGATCAGAAAATATTTGCTCAAACACTGGATTATAGGTCTCTGTGTTACCCCACATTTAGATCTGGAAAAGCCACAGATGGACTTGCCTCAATTTTTTTCATCCACAAAACTGGGCTGGGTCAGGGGAGGGAGAGAAAGGGGGGGGGGAACTAGTAACTGCTGTGGTCCTCGTATCCTACTCTGTTCTTGCACATGCAAGGTGTGATCTACCAAAGTAGCAGCACCTGAGGCCAAGAAACGAAACCACGTGCGTGTCCTGTTGGTAGGAGGCTGGAGTGTCAGATCAGTTTCTAAAGGGATATGAGGATTTTTAAAAGACCAAAATAACCCATTTATCGGCGTCTGGTTATAAATAATTACAATTAGATTTTTAACCTCTTGGAGTCAACTTAGGCATCTTTATTTCTTTCCTTTCACCAAGGCCTTGAACACGTGTGTTTAAATGAAGAATTCTGAGTCATAATGTAATTTGCATGTATTGAAATGCCATATATTACCTTAAATGGTTACCATAGTGTTCTACTCAGTGAGTAAATATGTAGCATAGCTATAAAATTGGTCATAATTTTTTTTTATCATTTGGGATGAGAAAATTTAATAAAAAAATTTTTTTAAACATCTCTTGATACTAGGTTCAAGGGGCAGTTGCCTATGATTTTTTCTGTGAGTTGCAGATATTCCCTAACTGCCAGGGCTCTGGGACACCAATAATAGAAGTCTCTGAACTGAACAAGTTTCAAAAGCTTGCTATTTTAGGACATCATTAAAACTTTGGGGGAAAGAATCCCACCAGAGACTGAATGTTGCTTGCTGCTGAACCAAATGACCTGTCTTCACTTTGCCTTGCTGAGAGTGGGAAACAGTCTGTATCTAGCTAGGGATGTGGAAACCATGAGGTAGACAGCTCTCTGCCCACAGTGTGGACAGTAAGCACCAAGGAAGCAAAATGAGATAATGGAATACGAAGACTGTAATTTACTAGGTTAGGACACAGGCAGGATTGGAAATCCTCCACTGTCTAGGAAGACCAAATGTAGACTGGGCCATGAGACCAAGGCCAGGGGAGTTTGTGATAGGGGCTCGCACTTTGCACCTTCTCCTGCCTCACTGTGTTCAAGATAAAGGCATGTTTAATAATGTTTAAGAGTGGGAAGGAAGGGGCATCTGGCCGGCTCAGTCAGAGCCTTGATCGCAGAGTCATGAGTTCAAGACTCACGTTGTCATTGGATGTGGAGCCTACCTAAAATAAATACATTTTTAAAAAGTACAAGTGGGAAAAAATAACGTTGAAGAGTTGGATAGTCGGGGTCAGATAGATGAGTTCAACTCCTGATGTTGTCATTTATTATGTTAGCTATAGAACTACCTACCATCATCCCCCATGTAGATCTCAGTTTCCTTACATTTGAAATGGAATAATAATTACACGGACTTCATAGCGATTGTTGTACAGGTCGGATGACATAATGTGTGTAAACAAAACCCTTAGTACAGTGCCTGGCCTTCTCGGTGAATGTTAGCTAAAAACAAACAATGAAACATCAACTGCCCAGCCTCTCTTATCTGTAAAAAGAGGAGAGTCAAGGAAAGTCCCTGCAGTAAGGGAAATCAAATCAATGGTATCTCCTGATCAAGGGCTGCTGTCCACCCTGTCTTGTTATTTTATTTATTCTTTAATGTTTATTTACTTATTTTGAGAGAGTGTGCACGGGGAGGGGGAGGGACAGAGAGGCAAGAGAGAATCTCAACCAGGATCCACACCTAACATGGGGCTTGATCTCACAAACCATGAGACCACCACCTGAGCCAAAATCAAGAATAGGACGCTTAACGGACTGAGCTACCCAGGCGCCCCCTGTCTCCCTGTTATTTGAGATCACCTTCATATCTCTCATCCTTGCCACTGTCAGAGGTTACTAAAGACATTTCTTCATTCAAGTGTTTATTAAGTGCCAACTCTGTGTCAAGTAGTAGCTATGTGATAGGGGTGTATTGGCCAACACCTCGAAAAGATAGCTGAAAAGATAGGTAATGAACAAAATAAACACACAAATACAATGATTATCACTTGTTGGAAGAAAAACATGGCACTCCACTCTCAATGGGTTGACAAGGAAAGCCCTCTGTGAGGAAGGGAGACAAAAGATAAGAAACAGCAGAATGGTTTCAGTCCACACCTTATGGCCTTTCTCTGCAGCAACTTGTGAAAATTGCCAGCCTTATTTGTCTTTTAACTCCCCTGTCGTTCTAGCTGTCACAACCCAGAGGGGATTTCAAAAGACATTCAGGACAGACTACTTCCTGCCAGGTGATCCTAGGGTCATGGTCACAGATGTAGTGGCTGGGCGGCCACATAAATACTTGTGCAGGTTGTACCTACATAAAAACACTGGGCAAGCGGAGTGTCCTGGCACAGGGCTGCATTTACCTACCTCTGAGGAAGGGGTGCCTTTTCTACTCAACACAACCAGAAGTAGCTAGTGGCCCTATGCAGTCTCAGAATAAAAGCACACTTAGAAGTCAGTGAAAGGTTATTTCAAAAGCAGACTGGCACTAGGGACTTAAGGTGCCATCCAGGAATAACCCAGCTTAATCCCTAAGTATAGGTGACACAGAGGACTCATACCGCTGTAGAGCTGCACCGTGATTTATTACCACTTTTCAGGGGAAGCAGTAGGGCTTTCCAGCTGAGTGAAGCTTTGGGGGCCCTAGAGACAGGGGAACAGCAGCTCAGGCCCCCACTGCCTAAGTCCTCACACAAGCCACTTCTTCCAGTAACTGCTCCCACGGGGCAGTGCTGGTCCCCAAAGTCATGACTAATGGCCACCTTCTCAGGCTCTCAAAACTAAGCAGTTCTTGTTGGATTCAGAATGATTCTCCTTCCTACCAGAGCAGAATCATTCTTCCTGATTTTCTGAAAATAAGCCACAAAGAATCCCTTTGTGGGAGTAATGTAAGAAAAAAATAGTCAAAGGGAAAATGTAGGAAACCATGAGCTAAAGAGAAGAATATGTCAAGTTAATGTTTGCATACTCAAAGCTGTACCTAATTAAAATATTTCAGAGGGTAGAGGGAAGTTTTTATAGCGAATTGTGTTAAATTGGTTTCAATAGGTTTAACCCCCCAAAAATCCACATATAATATTCTTTTGGCTAGCTTTCTTACATATTAAAACTTAAAATTACGCAGAGAAATTCTCAGGCTAAGACATGTTTTGG